TCCATCGTCAATTTATTTCGTTTTCAAAGAAAAGATTTTGCTTTTTAAAAATTCTTTTCTTTGATTTTCCTTCAATGAGAAAAATTCAATTGAAAATTATTCTAAAAAGACTCTTGTTCATTTGTACGTGATGATTTGAAGTAATGACAATCAAATGATATTTGATCTCTCAAATAAAATCAACAGAATTTACTTTGTCATCATTTTTAAATGACAAAATCTCTTTTTACGCAAAGATTTCAAATTTCTTTTTTGGGTGAAAATTTGTGAAGAAAATAAAGAAATTCAATTGTTTTTTATTAAATAAGAAAATTTATTTTACAATTTACAAATTTTGATCTGAGAAAATCAAAGAAATTATTTATTTATAATTTCAAATATTAATTAATATTAAAACTTTTCCTTTTTTTCTCTCAACTTTGATAAATATTCAATTAATTATCTCAATTCAAATCATTTATCGTCTTTTCACAAAAACACAATACATCGCTTTTTCGAATTAACACAACGCAAATCGAAGTGATCAGCATTGTTGCCGCCATTTCAAACGATAAAAATTAAACTGATCAACTTTTCAATTGAATCAGTTTCTTGTGGATAAAATATTCTGTTAGTGACACCTAAATTACATTCAAATACTTCGCATCGTCATTTGTAACGATGACTTTTTCACTGATTGTGGAAATTAGTTGAGAATTCCACTCAGTTGTGTAGGAAATCAAAGATTCTAATAGAATTTCAGAAGTTTCTGCGAAAGAAAACGAGAAGAATTTTATTACAATTTGAAATCGAATGAAGAAATACAAAGAAAAACATCAGTTTGCATTTCACATTGTTTTCTTTACTTTGGCAAATATTTCTCAACAATTTCTGGTTTGTGAACAAATCTCAACGAATTGATTAAGAAAAAACATCAATAAGGAGGGAATCGAATCACACTGAAAGAGAAGATCATCGATGAACTAAATACAAAATTCATATAAAATACAAAGAAAATCTCAAATGAGAAAACAAAGAAAGATCAGAAGTGAAATGACTTTACGCATTTCGGAACAGAACTTGAGAGAAGTGACACAATTTTCAAGATTATTTGTATCAATTTATGTGTCGAGAAGATGTTCGTATTGTGTTTGAGATGGTTGAAAAGGTATTTCTGGACAAAACAACATATGAACCAAAAGAAAAAACGTTCGCTTCCATCTCTATGAAATTTGTAACTAAATTTTCGTGATGAAAACATATTCAGATTGATTATTGTTCCTTCTACTGAAAGGAGGGTATACACAGAATTTGAGTTAAAGTTCGTTCGTCCGTTCGTTCGTTTTATTTCGTTCAAATAGTATATACATGAAACACAGGTGACCATCTTAAGGGTTGACCGAAGGGTAATCGGGGTCGAGGAATTCGAATCCGTGATCAGCTTCTCGAGATATCAATTAGCTAATCACTAATTAGGAAAATAAAATATTTTTCGTTGCCGAGTAAGGGTCTACCGAAGGGCAACCGAGGTCGGAGATCCTGAATCTGCTGTTAGTTTTTCTTTATTTGTTGAGGTGCGGCTTCTTCCTTTCTCTTTCGAAAACAGATATTTTTCTGAATCTTTTCTAAATTCTTGTGTAGGAGATAGTAGGCTAAGCACTATGGCTGTGTATGATGGAATACAACCGAGAATGTCCTTTCGTTTTTCATCCTTTTGCATGAGTGTATCAGAAGAACGAAAAAGAAAAGGACGTTTCGTTCGAGCACATTACAAAAGGATACTCTTGGCTTGTGATAAACTGTCATTAGGGAGAAAGAGAAAAAGTGAGATATTCAGCATATCAGTGAAATTTGTGAGAGAGACGCACCCAGTCACATAGTATTCTTGTCCATTTTCTCCCAAACAAAGTATACTTAACAAAGGCAACCGATGTGGACGACAAAATTTTTGTATCATTTCCTATGGATCAACGTCTTCGTCAAACCACTAACATGAAGATGAAAGTATGAATGAGTTACATCTTCAAAATGATTCGTATATGATGTGTATTGTCGTATTCCTTCGTGTATACGATAGCGCTATTTGAATTTCGAAACTTTAAAAACCAACCTATTAATTTTTGTTCATAAGTTTCACAAAATGACGAGAATTTCAGTTGCCACTGCTCATCAGATTATCGATTGTAGTTACGTTTTGACTAAGTGTTATTTATCAAGATGATATTTACATGTTTTTCATGTGCAAGAAAATGCACTTGAGGACCAAAAAGAAAAATAATTCATGTGATTCTTTTGCTTGTAAATATCAATGAAATAATTACAGTGAACTATTGTGACAAAACTAGTTTCCGTTAAAGTAGAAAATGATTTGTTCTATAAACAGATAGATAAATAGCGAAAGTAAGTGACTGGTTAACTATTCAGGTATAATAAAAAGTAAAAATATCATTGCTATTTCGCACTTGTAATAACTGTTCGGTAGAATTAATTACAAATAAAATGAGTTTTTTCCTTCATAGAAGAAAATATTTTGAATAGTTTTTTTTTGTTTTATTATCGTTTGTGAGTTATAACAAGTTTTAGAGGATTATCGAAATAATTATGTTTATTCCACAATGGCTGAAGTCCTTATGCACAACGGCGTATAAACATTTAATAACATACAATCATTTTGATTCTCAATCGACAAATCCATTTTTTATTCGTCGTGAATTGTTATCAACACGTCTATATCTTATTCTACTCGTTATTTCTGTTAGTATTTTAACAACATACACTTCATTCACTGTCCGTATTAAAGATGAATCGATAAAATCTCCAACTTATTCTCAATATCAACAGCTTAACAGAAAATACTCGAATACATTACAATGTTTATGTACAAACTTATCTATTGAATATGGAAAATTTGTAAAAACTGAACCATTATTTCATCAAGTTTGTTCAAGTGATTTCATAACACAACGATGGATTGATTTCATATTTGCAGCAAATATATTATCACTTTGGCCCATAGATGTACGAACAAGTTTAAGTGCAATGTGGCAATTAATTCAATCATTTTGTCAAAATTCCTATCAAACAATAATGAGTATACTTGATCATTTTAATAAAACTCTATTAATTAGTCCAATTCTATTCAATGAAGAACTTTTAAAAGCAAAAGTTCAGAGTATTCTTTTCTCACAACGTGATATATCAACAGTTAATCTTATTCAATCGATAACAGTCATTAATCAAATAACACAAGCAAATCAATTCCTGAGTACATTAGGAACAAATTATATTGCTGTAACACATCAATTCGGATTATCAAAACAACCTAATTCATATAGAAATATAAGTCAAATACAACTATATCTATATATTGGAAGATTTGCAAACTTATATATACAAAAGAATTCAATAATTCCTTGTTCATGTCAAACTAATGCTTCATGTCCTCTTGAGGGTGATATTTATTTGTATAATATGTCAGAACAATTTGGTATTTATAATATGAATAGAATCCATTCGAATGGAAGTTTAACTGGTGTAATTATTGATTGTTTACCACTTCAAATGACATTTGCATCATCATTGGAATGTTTTTTTCAACAATCATGTTTAAATTTTCTTCTTTCAACTTATAAACAGAAAATGAATGTTTCTATTCTAAATGAATCTCGTCCGAGTCGTTTTAATCAAACAACAACAATCCAGTCACTTCTCAATGAACTTTTCATTGAAGAACTACAAAATGAAACAAATTATCAACAGTATTATTTAACATGTTTACCAAAAATTTGCAGTTATTCATATAATCATCGATTTGATTGGACATATGTATTAACAACATTCATTGGATTGTGTGGTGGCATTACTAAAGTATTGAGTATCATTGCCTGGTATTTTATTGGTTTTATTTTATATTTATATGAACGATTTTTCTCAAATACTGTACAGACAGTTAGAAGGAATTCACGTAAGGTTTGAAAAAAGTTCGCGACATTTAATTGAACATTGTTTCGATTATTTTAGATGGAAAATGTTTTATACAGATGAAAAATATTCTTTTAAAATTCAAAACTAAACTAATTAATTTGAATTTCTATTCTAAACATTCTCGAGATCGTATTCGTGTCTATCATGGTTGTTTATCAACGCGATTGTATCTATTGACATTAATTATTTCGATATGTGTTATTATCATTTATTTATTCATGTTAGTTGAAACAGTAAATGAAAATATTCCAAGTCCATCTATAAAAGAATATCAAATGTTACACGAAGAATATTTCTCAACATTAAAATGTCCTTGTAGTCAAATATCGATTGTCTATAATGATTTTCTGAGAATAGAAGTAAAATATCATGAAATTTGTTCAAGTGATTTTATTCAACCATGGTGGTATAATAGGTTTCCTGCTCGTAATAGCTCAGATACAAATTTGGATTTTTTTCAATTTGCCTCATCATTTTTTCATGCATTAGCAGCGCTTTGTGAATTAACAAATGAAACAATTCAATATGAAATAAAACGATTCTTGTCAACAACATTTGTCAACGCCGATGTTTTATCAAATGATTCATTCCGTACACAAATAAACTCGCTTACAAACTCATTTATTCAACTAACACAAATTCAGTTTAGTTATCGAATATTTTTAACTCAAACATTATTGCATAGTAATCAATATATGAGCAATACGGGGAGAGGCGTTGATCTTCGAATGTTACTAGAGTTCACTGATAATCTATATTATGTATATGTAATTACAGAACCTTTATACAAGGTTAGCAAGAATGAAACTCGTTGTTATTGTGTACTCGATTCAACATGTAGTTATGAAAATGAAGTATTTAGTATGCAGGTAGGCTGCACTGTCATGAATTCTGTCTTGAAGTCATCTCTAATATGTTGGTTTAATGCAAGTTGTATTGATCTAGTTTTAACATCGTTCTATGATGGTCACTGGTTAATGAATGATCCTCCCTCACCTCTGAATTCTACGTTACCTAGTCGATATTCTCTTACAACACCAATGGAAACAATTTTCAATGAAATGATGGTTGAAGAATGGAATATAACTTTCTCCTACGATAGTTATTTTCAAGAATGTCAACCTTCATCTTGTTCATTCACTTATGAAAAGNTTGTTATTCGTCGTGAATTGTTATCAACACGTCTATATCTTATTCTACTCGTTATTTCTGTTAGTATTTTAACAATATACACCTCATTCACTGTCCGTATTAAAGATGAATCGATAAAAACTCCAACTTATTCTCAATATCAACAGCTTTACAAAAAGTACTCGAATACATTACAATGTTCATGTACAAACTTATCTATTGAATATGGAAAATTTGTAAAAACTGAACCATTATTTCATCAAGTTTGCTCAAGTGATTTCATAACACAACGATGGATTGATTTCATATTTGCAGCAAATATATTATCACTTTGGCCCATAGATGTACGAACAAGTTTAAGTGCAATGTGGCAATTAATTCATTCGTTTTGTCAAAATTCCTATCAAACAATAATGAGTATACTTGATCATTTTAATAAAACTCTATTAGTTAGTCCAATTCTATTCAATGAAGAACTTTTAAAAGAAAAAGTTCAGAGTGTTCTTTTATCCCAACGTGATATATCAACAGTTAATCTTATTCAATCGATAACAATGATTAATCAAATAACACAAGCAAATCAACTCATAAGTGCATTAGGAACAAATTATATTGCTGTAACACATCAATTCGGATTATCAAAACAACCTAATTCATATAGAAATATAAGTCAAGTACAACTATATCTATATATTGGACGGTTTACAAACGTATATATACAAAAGAATTCAATAGTTCCTTGTTCATGTCAAACTAATGCTTCATGTCCTCTTGAGGGTGATATTTATTTGTATGATATGTCAGAACAATTTGGTATTTATAATATGAATAGAATCCATTCGAATGGAAGTTTAACTGGCGTAACTATTGATTGTTTACCACTTCAAATGACATTTGTAGCATCATTGGAATGTTTTTTTCAACAATCATGTTTAAATTTTCTTCGTTCAACTTATAAACAGAAAATGAATGTTTCTATTCTAAATGAATCTCGTCCGAGTCGTTTTAGTCAAACAACAACAATCCAATCACTTCTCAATGAACTTTTCATTGAAGAACTACGAAATGAAACAAATTATCAACAGTATTATTTAACATGTTTACCAAAGATTTGTAATTATTCATATAATCATCGATTTGATTGGGTATATGTATTAACAACATTCATTGGATTGTGTGGCGGCATTACTAAAGTATTGAGTATGATTACCTGGTATTTTATTGGTTTTATTTTATATTTATATAAACGATTTTTCTCAAATACCGAACAGACAGTTAGAAGGGATTCACGTAAGGTTTGAAAAAAAAGTTCGCGACATTTAATTGAACATTGTTTCGATTATTTTAGAGGGAAAATGTTTTATACAGATGAAAAATATCCTTTTAAAATTAAAAACTAAACTAATTAATTTGAATTTCTATTCTAAACATTCTCGAGATCGTATTCGTGTCTATCATGGTTGTTTATCAACGCGCTTGTATCTTTTTACGTTCAGTATTTAGATATGTGTTATTATCATTTATTCATTGATGTTAGTTGAAACAGTGAATGAAAATATTACAAGTCCATCTATACAAGAATATCAAATGTTACACGAACAGCATTTCTCAACATTAAAATGTCCTTGTAGTCAAATGTCGATTCTCTATGATGATTTTCTTAGAATAGAAGTAAAATATCATCAAATTTGTTCAAGTGATTTTATTCAACCATGGTGGTATAATAGCTTTCCTGCTCGTAATAGCTCAGATACAAATTTGGATCTTTTTCAATTTGCTTCATCATTTTTTCATGCATTAGCAACGCTTTGTGAATTAACAAATGAAACAATTCAATATGAAATAAAACGGTTCTTGTCAAGAACATTTGTCAACGCAGATGTTTTATCAAATGATTCATTCCGTACACAAATAAACTCGCTTACAAACTCATTTATTCAACTAACACAAATTCAGTTTAGTTATCGAATGTTTTTAACTAAAACATTATTGCATAGTAATCAATATATGAGCAATATGGGGAGAGGCGTTGATCTTCGAATGTTACTAGGGTTCACTAATCATCAATATTATGTATATGTAGTTACAAGACCTTTAGATGACGTTAGCAAGAATGAAACTCACTGTTATTGTGTACTCGATTCAACATGTAGTTACGAAAATAAAGCATTTAGTATGCAGGTAGGCTGCACTGTCATGGATTCTGTCTTGAAGTCATCTCTAATATGTTGGTTTAATGCAAGTTGTATTGATCTAGTTTTAACCTCGTTCTATCAAGGTCACTGGCTAAGAGATGATCCTCCCTCACCTCTGAATTCAACGTTACCTAGTCGATATTCTTGTACAACACCAATGGAAACAATTTTCAATGAAATGATGGTTGAAGAATGGAATATAACTTTCTCCTACGATAGTTATTTTCAAGAATGTCAACCTTCATCTTGTTCATTCACTTATGAAAAGAAAACGGATTTTGTATATCTGATTACTATCATCATTAGTCTTTTCGGTGGAATTCATACTATTCTTCTATTAATATCACCATTTATTATCAAGTTCGTTTTGGGATTAATTGAAAAGATAAAAAATTATAATTTACCATCGATGTCGAATAATCTAGAAAATCATCGATTCTTTGTTAAAATCTTGATTTTCATCAATCGATTTTTCGATAAGATATTAATGTTGAACGTTTTTGATAGTGAATCAAACAATCTTGAAACTATACATCGTGAACGAGTAATTACAAGATGTTATTTATTAACTTTATTTCTTTTATTGTATATCATAACTATCTATTCAATCATTTCCAATGGAACTATCAGTATATCATTACCGAATCCATCTGAAAATGATTATGAAACATTAACAATATGGCATTCAGAAACCCTTGAATGTCCTTGCCATAAAATCGCTATTGAATATAAACATTTCGTCGACATTAGCATAACATCACATCAAATTTGTTCAAGTGATTTTATTGGCACAGAATGGCGTGATTATCTATTCCTTTATCCAGATTGGTCTGATTATAACAGTGCTGATATTCGTTCACGTGGTAGTATCTATTTCTTGTTTCTTTCAACTTTATGTCAACTCTCTCAAACAACAATAAATAATGCTATTAATGCATTTCTTAATGAAACATTTATCAGTACTCAAATCATATCAAACTCGGAGTTTCGACTTCGAATGAATACAAGTCTTTCTCAACTTCAGAAATTAACGGCAGCAAAATTCGCGCAAAGTTTAAATTTATTACGTGATGTTATGAATGGTAATACTCTCGTATCATCCTACTTTCTCAACTGGTATTGGTGGATTGATTTTAACAGAACATATACAACAATTCCAATTAGTCCAGTGGTAATGAAAGATGGATGTTCTTGTGGAACACGAAGTGATTGCATTAAATCAGGAGGAATATATTATGAACGTAGTGATCAACAAATGTTTGCAATTCCCGGATGGAATGTTGGATGTTCAGTTGTTGAAACAGTTTTACGATCAACATTAGAATGTTTTTACGATCAAATATGTATTGATTCATTATTTTCTGCAGCGATAACTGATGAACCAGCTCTTTATTATCACATGAATATATCAGCGATGCATTATAATTCAAATAAAAGTCGATTTAGAAAAGATTCATTTATTCAAAATTTAATAGATGAATTATTTGTTGAAAAATGGAATATTAAAACATATTATTCATCATTTTATAATGCATGTGATCCCATTTATTGTTCATATACTATTCAAAAAGATGATTATTATATGTATAGTGCATCGAGAGTACTTGGTTTATATGGAGGACTAACAGTTATATTACGAGTAATTGTTCCATTTATAGTCAAACTGTTCTATAAAATGAAAAATGTATATGATAGAAATCAAGTTGTTCCATTTAATTAATCTATTCATAGACTATTGCTTTTATATAGATTTTCGTTGAATAAAAATGATATCTCGAGAAGTACATTTGTTTTTCTGTGATAAAAAGAACTATAGAATAAATAGGAAGAGATAGAGTAGAATATTTTTTTTATTCCGGAAATAATTTAAGAAAATATAATTGAATACAATGCAACAACAGCAAGCATTGATGTGGAATTGTACGGATTTTCACTTTGAAAGAGCACTGCCGATTGGACTGGTCGGCCTTGTGCAGCATTGATTCGAGTGTAGCCATCATCGGTAACTATCAATGGTAATTGTCTTGATATCATCGTGATCGTCTTCGGATAATATAAACTTAGAATAGCTGCTAAAACATCATACATAGTACTTGTGCCAATATCAGGACTGAACGGTTGCAGAGCACCAGNAGTGATAAACCGAAGGATAATAAACTATGGACAATCGAGCGTTTTGTTGATGAAGTTGAACAAGTTAGGAAAGCACTTGGTCTAAATCAAGACAATTTCTACTTGCTTGGTCATAGTTGGGGTGGAATATTAGCATTGGAATACGCATTGATTTATCAAAAGAATTTGAAAGGTTTAATCATTAGTAATATGATGTGCAGTGCACTGGATTATGCGACGTATGCTGAAAATGTTTTAAGTAAAAGCATCGATCCGGAAGTTTTAAAAGAAATTAAAGAAATAGAGGCAAACAAAGATTATGAAAATCCAAGATATATGGAATTATTAATACCAAATTTTTATAGTAAATACGTTTGTCGATTAGAAAATTGGCCTGAAACAATACATCGTGCTTTTTCACATTTCAATAACGATATTTATATTCTAATGCAAGGTCCATCAGAATTTGGTATTTCAGGTTTATTGGAAAATTGGAATCGTAGAGATGATTTATCCAAAATTGAAACTCCAACATTGATGATCGGTGCAACATTCGACACTATGGATCCCGAACATATGAAATGGATGGCAACACAAGTTCAACATGGTTCCGTTTTAATCTGTCCATATGGTAGTCATTGTTCAATGTGGGACGATGAAGAACATTATTTTCGTGGACTTATTCGCTTTTTAAAAGGTGTAGATCAAGGTGAAAAAGTTGAAGCTATTCTAAACGTTTGATATTTTTCTCTGCATTGACGCATGGATGAATGTTGACAAGCTATTCTATTCAATATCAGAAACATATATTTTTCGGCCGAAGAAGTATCTCCATTGAAATAAAAATATTGTGCCGTAATCCTCATGTTACGATTTGTTTCACAGATTTACCACGCGTAAAAATTATTTTAAGATATTTTTATAAATACCTTGTTTTTTGCCTTCAAAAGCAAAAGATAAATACAAATGTTCTTATCTTGACATACACACACACATTGAATGATGATTTTTCACCAAAACGTTGGTTTTTTCCATTTATTTTCGGTGTCGTCATTTTTATTTGTTTAAGCCATAAAAAGCAGAATGTTGGTTTTTCCCGTTCTGCTGCTAGGTATGCAAAGCATTCGTTACTTTCATTATAAAATTCATTAGTCGTGCTACAGCTCACAACTACCACCACTATATGGCGTTGAATTCGTCCATTACCGTCGACACGGTGGATACTATACGTATACGATCAAAATGCCGTGTTTCCATCGATTTCGACAACGCTGACACATACTCTGTAATGACTCACTTGACAAAAGCTGATGAAAGTTATGACGGAACTAGATGAGTTTGACGTTGACGCTCTAGATGCTGAAATTCAAAATATCAGTAACCAACTGAAAGATAACGTGAACAAATTACGACACAATCCGAAGAATGATGAGTTGCAACAATCAATTCGTGATGCTAAAGAACGCCTTGCACAACTTAATATATGGACATCAAAATTAAACACTGAAGAAGCCCGACGGCTTTTGCTGCAGCAGAAAATAAAAGAGGAACAAGAGAAGATTGAACAGAGAAAATATGAAATCGATCAGGTATTTAAAACGGTTAAAGTTCGATCTGAAGTCGATATTTGTTTTTTAATGGATTGCACAAGAAGCATGAAATCTCATATAGATAAAGCAAAAGAAGATATCCATCTTTTAACCAAAATGATACCAAATTTATTTAAAGTTCAGCCATGCTTAGCATTTGTTGGATATCGAGATGTAAACAGTTCTAGTCCGCAATGTCTCAAAATGGACTTTACGAAAAACGTTGATGTATTCGAACAGTTTCTTGGCAACGTCCAAGCTGTAGGTGGTTCTGATAATGACTTTTGCGAAGACGTTTTTGGTAAGGATGTCATTAGTTGTATAGTTAGTATGAATATTTACACAAGATCACGCTTTTAGGTGGTTTGGAAGTCATTCCAACTCTTCTTTGGACGAGTGCGAATCGTATTTTAATTCACATTTGTGACGCTCCTTGTCATGGTAGACAATATTATGATGCAAAGTTTCAACAGCGTCAGGGCACTAAATGGGATGCATTTCCAGACGGAGATCCAAAAAATCGTGATATAACAAAACTCTTATTAAATATCAAATCTTTAGATATCCAGTACCTTTCCATTCAATTAAATCCAAGAAAAACACGCAAAATGTTCGACGAATTTCGGCTCATTTATGGCTCGATATCTGAATTAGATGTAGAGAATCCCAGTGAGATGATGAATGTTGTAACGAAAATGGCTAACAGCATAATCATGAGTAGTATTGAAAATACGATGTCAATATTTCGTACGACTGACGAAGGGAAANAAAGATAAAAAATTATAATTTACCATCGATGTCGAATAATCTAGAAAATCATCGATTCTTTGTTAAAATCTTGATTTTCATCAATCGATTTTTCGATAAGATATTAATGTTGAACGTTTTTGATAGTGAATCAAACAATCTTGAAACTATACATCGTGAACGAGTAATTACAAGATGTTATTTATTAACTTTATTTCTTTTATTGTATATCATAACTATCTGTTCAATGATTTCCAATGGAACTATCAGTATATCATTGCCGAATCCCTCCGAAAATGATTATAAAACATTAACAATATGGCATTCAGAAACACTTGAATGTCCTTGCCGTAAAATTGCTGTTAAATATAAATATTTCGTCGGCATTAGCATAACATCACATCAAATTTGTTCAAGTAATTTTATTGGCACAGAATGGCGTGATTATCTATTCCTTTATCCAGATTGGTCTGATTACAACAGTGCTGATATTCGTTCACGTGGTAGTATCTATTTCTTGTTTCTTTCAACTTTATGTCAACTCTCTCAAACAACAATAAACAATGCTATAAATGCATTTCTTAATGAAACATTTATCAGTACTCAAATTGTATCAAACTCTGAATTTCGACTTCAAATTGATACAACTCTTTTCCAACTTCAGAAATCAACGGCAGCAGAATTCTCTCAAAGTTTAAATTTATTACGTGATGTTATGAATGGTAATACTCTTGTATCATCCTACTTTCTCAACTGGTTTTGGTGGATTGATTTTAACAGAACATATACAACAATTCCAATTAATCCAGTGGTAATGAAAGATGGATGTTCTTGTGGAACACGAAGTGATTGCATTAAATCAGGAGGAATATATTATAGGCGTAGCGATCAACAAATGTTTGCAATTCCAGGATGGAATGTTGGATGTTCAGTTGTTGAAACAGTTTTACGATCAACATTAGAATGTTTTTACGATCAAACATGTATTGATTCATTAATCTATGCAGCGATAACTGATAAACCAGCTATTTATTATCACATGAATATATCAGCGATGCATTATTCAAATAAAAGTCGATTTAGAAAAGATTCATTTATTCAAAGTTTAATAGATGAATTATTTGTTGAAAAATGGAATATTAAAACATATTATTCATCATTTTATAACGCATGTGATCCAATTTATTGTTCATATACTATTCAAAAAGATGATTATTATATGTATAGTGCATCGAGAGTACTTGGTTTATATGGAGGACTAACAGTTATATTACGAGTAATTGTTCCACTTCTAGTAAAACTGTTCTATAAAATGAAAAATGTTTGTAATAGAAATCAAGTTGTTCCATTTAATTAATCTATTCACAGACTATTTCTTTTATATATAGATTTTCATTGAATAAAAATGATATCTCGAGAAGTACGTTTGTTTTTCTGTGGCAAGAAGAACTATGGAATAAGTAGAAGGAGATAGAGTAGAAAATTTTTTCATTCTGGAAAGAATTTAAGAAAATATAATCGAATATAGAGCGACCACGGCAAGCATTGATGTGGAATTGTATGGGTTTTCACTTTGAAACGACACTGCCGATTGAACTGGCTGTCCTTGTGTAGCATTGATTCGGGTATAGCCATCATCGGTCACTACTAACGGTAATTGTCTCGATATCATCGTGATCGTCTTCGGATAATATAAACTTAGAATAGCTGCTAAAACATCATACATAGTACTTGTGCCAATATCAGGACTGAACGGTTGCAGAGCACCAGCTCCTTTCCCTCCATTATTATACCAGGTTGTATATGAATCGAGAATTAATTGAACGTGTTTATTTTTATTCCTATAGGAAAGAAACTGTTGCCATACAGGTCCGTTAAATTGCAGGAAGATCGTCGTATCCAATGGCGCCAACCCAAAATAAGCCCATGATGCGTTAAACATGGCTTTAGCAGCAGGAATATCTATATAAACATTGTATTCCTTGGATGGTTGACTTGAATTTCCGTAACCTCGATAAATCGATCCAGCCATAGCAAATAGACGGATATTTTTTGTTATTTCAGGTTTTAAACGTTGTAAAACATCACCTACTGAAGTTTCTGGTGATATTTCGATTAGATGATAGATATTATCCGGTGTTGCCTTTTGTAATTCATTGTATAGAGCATCTTCACCATTTTCGTACACAGTTCCTCCTTCGTTTTTGAACTGCTCAAGTGTATAGTTTTGTGCCCATTCATATTCACCCATAGTACTTACACCTGTATTTCGACCGATGGCTATCGGAACATTATAACGACCATAGATAGCCAATGTTTTCGCTACAATCTGAGCGCGTGCTGTCGTATTAAACGTTGAGCACACAACTAATTTCAAATCAAATCCATCGGGATTGGAAAGTATGAAACTTAAAGCCATCTGGTCATCATAATCCGTACCGATATCTGTATCTAAGATCGTTGGTACTGGGCTACTAATTAAAGTCTTGGCCAGAATCAACACGGAGAAACACAACCTAACAACTTGTTGTTCCATTATCCTTCAAACAAGTAACCACTCCAACACCTTTCTCTCTAGAAGATACATGATAAGAAGATAAGCGATAGATAACGACTTTATGAAATTAGTATCCGTTACGAGTAAAGCATGCATTGTACTGTTGGATGAGACTATGGGCGTGCAATCGATGCTAACTACTTCTCAACTTTCTGCATGAAAGTACTTAACTATGTTTTTCTTAGTTAGATTCAACGGAATTAACTTGGCTTATGATTCCAAGTATAATGTATCTTGATCTTTATAATCTCGAGAGTGAAACAAGTAAAGAGAACTAGAATTAATTGTAAAATTTATTCTAACCAAATTGAGAGAAAATGATTTACCATTGTTCTACTCTTGCTATTTCACGTGTATCTGAAGTATGTTTAGAAAAATGTGTTGTTAAATGTATCTCTAGCAATTTTTATTTATGATCGAATAAACACCGAAGAATCTGATTTATTCTTGGATTATTCCTTTTTCGTTCATACAATAATTGCGATCAAAAGCTTAATGACTCACTACATTCTGAACTGATTCAGGTATGAACTATAACATTCATAAAAGTGATGATGTTTAACGAATAAACTTAGTGATTAGAGAAGACAAGGATATTCACTTGATCATTTGACAAACTTACCAAAGTCTATGTAATTCAGTGTTGCTTTATAAAACAACAACTCCCGACTCTTTGCCGATGCTAAAATCACGCATTGGGTACATATAGCACTTGACACCCACCCTCATAGACATGTAGATAATTTTCTTCGCAAAGAAAACTCAGCCATTCAATTTTTTCATTCTTTCCTGAACAATGCATGACCTGCCGGAAACAGACGAACAATGATCATTCGCATATATATATATCGGTCATATATTGAAAAAGATGCATGTACAAAATAGATTGAGTAACATAGGAATGAGCATAACTACATTTGAATCATTACCTAATGAGCTTATATTCATGATAATTTCTTATTTATCTTACTTCGATATCTATCAAGTTTTTTTTCATTTAAAAAATGCTCGTCTTGAACGTATTCTTACTTCAATGAACTATACATTAAACGTTAGCTATATGCATTACAATCAATTACGACAATTTCTTAGTACTGATAACGATCATATGAATCACTCGACTACTCTGATAGATACTGTTGTATGTCATGATTCACCTGCTTGTTGGAAGTTACTTAATCATTGGAGTAAAACACTTACTGATACCAAGCGGTTAAACACATGGTTACCCTCGATCAAGAGGCTTTTTATATCGAATGCAAATTATTGCGAATTTATGTATGTTGAACCATTACTAGTACCTTTGGTTTCTGTCAACAACATGTTACAACATTTACATTTGGTCTTTGAAAGACCTACTCATTGGTATCCTACAATACTTTCTGCACTCATCCGCCATCGTATATCAACTGATACAATGATATTGGAAGTTGAAAAAGGTATGTGTGTAGAGAATAGAAAATTTAGATATAAGTTACTAAACATTAAAGTTATCTCTCAATTATTTCATCGTATTGAATTCAAAATTTTCTCTCGCCTAGCATGTTCTTTTTTATGCCGGAAATCAATAGTATCCCGCTTCAAAAGAATAGAGTCAAGTTTCTGTTTTATAGCGCGAAATTTGTTCTATTGTAGCTTTGAGTTTACAGTGGTGAAAATTCGTTTGAACAGTTTATCTTGAATATGAAAATGACGTTTTTTATTTTAGTTGAATCTTCATTACTATGTTAGATAATACAGGTCGTAAAAGAGGTTTGGTTTAACAGTTCTCGGTATATGCTACAGATTTCAAAAATGAAGTAGTTCTCATACTATCTAGGATTCATGAAGTGTCGCTTTCGTCTTTAAAATAACAGTTTTCAGAGCCATCTGATTTACAGTGATTTTATCTGTAGGGCATGAATACCGCCCTCACCCTCAGCTGGCAGGTTTACACCAGATGGAACCACTGCATTGGCCAAATACAACTCGGTTAACATTAAGTATTCAACAATCCAGCGAACTCATTCTCCTGTTCAAACGTGATGCTTTGCCCGCAATTGAGCATTTAAGTATTACTAATGAGGATGTACGCACTGCTTTGCCATCACGTAAATATTTGTTGGTGCCCAATATTCATTTGTGCGATTACAATCTACGTGAAATAGCTGATGGCAGCCACTTGCGATCTTTAATTTTACGTTATGTAACTCTTAGTGACACCATTATCTTACTTGATTCATTACTCATGCCGGTGCTTGAAAAATTGATACTGATTGATCTGTATGATCAGAGTAAGTTATTATTTACTATTTTTCGACTAAATTATTCCGATGAATCTAATCATAAAATTAATCTCAGGAGCAGAAGATGATTGCGAAATCAATCAAAATGGTTTTGAAAAGTAGGCGCACTGTTTTTCTTCCCTCTGGTTATACCTATTTTGAAATAATTTTGTTTCTTACATGAACATATTCATTCAGCTATACATTCCGCTTTGTTATTTCTTGCAGCATTAGATCGTGTGGCTAAATTTCAAGAACTGTGCAATTCTACTCATTTATCTTCTGTGAAAAAACTTCACTTTTCGTTGTGTTTTCCTCAAGAAATGGAACAAGCGTGGCACATGCATTCATTTAATTATAATGTTCGATGGCCTTTCGGCAATCTTGTTTGCCGTTTAGACGAGATTTCGATTTTCAATACTGGTACATTCAGTTTTATATCGAAAACATTCTTCGTCGTTTACACATTCCCGATCAACACAATATTGCAACATAAACGAACCTTACATAATCATCATTTCGCGGCACATGCGTCTGTTCCAATCATTGCATCTCAACGACGATCACTTGAAATGACTTATAATCAAACCGATGAACCTGTACAATTAGTCAAAACTTTACAAATAGTTGCAAACAATCGAATCAAGAAACTGGAAATGACATATTCAGGTGGACAAGTAAGTTTCAAAAGGAAACTATTAGAATGATTATTTTGACAAATGTCATGATTTATGACTAAAAGTTCTTCTGTATCATGCGAAGAAAAATCTCAAAATTGAAGAGTTAATGAATGTTTAAAAACTTTGATATTCATGTATATTTATCGTGCGTCTGTTGTATAGATAAGTTCACAATTGGCATCAACTTGCTGCCGTGACTGTAACTTGTTGCTTCAGCATTTACGATCTATATCTTTTGATTTTACGTCAAATTCAATCGAAAGGACAATTCGTACTGCTATCGTGAAACAAATACTTGACTATGCACCAAATTTATCACAACTTACAGTCGATTGGAAAGATTTTCGTCATTGTGAACGAACATATTTCAATTTAAAATATGTATGTCTCTTACTAGACCGATGTAACCCAGAGCCTAAATGCTATTTTAATATTCAACGATTAACTGAATTAGCGCCTCATTTGCGTTCTCTCGAAACAAGCATTGCGAATATTGTGCTGAATGAAAATGCTGTTGAAGTTGTTTTGTTAATCATTAGACATTTTGATCAGCTGATATATTTAACGCTGAATAAAAATGGTCTTTATCCAGCTAAACAAGAAATGAAAGATCTGTTCAAAGAAAAATTATTATTAAATGGTCATGACCAATTATTCGATTGCAACAATATTCGAATAAAATTTTCTTTGTATAATGAACTAAGTATTTGGCTTTAATATTGTAACATCGAAGATTATGTGAAAAAATAAAATATTTTCTTCCTGACAAATGCGAATATTGAATTTGAATTCGTGCATAACTGTGGCCAATTGGAAAAACTAGCTAGACCCGGTGCATACTGCACCGATACTTTTTGTCTTGACTATAGGACATCGGTCCCCTTCGTTAGGAACGCTGAAAAATCAGTAGGATAAAGGAGAAAGTTGGCTACAGAGAGTATGATCTTAAAATATAAACAAGTTTGTTTCTCACTTCGAGTTACGTAGCTGACATACAAAATCAAAGTGATTTCTCTTTTGAACGAGTCGAAAAATCCGAATAATCACGAAGTTCCGATGATTTTTTCACTTTACGTTTAATTTTTGTCAAAATAACGATAAGAATTTTCAATGAAATTTAGAAGAGAACACTGAAATTGACTAATCGATTCACAGAAATACTGGCTTTTATTTTTACTGAACGAAAGATGTTAGATTTCATAGTAAAAACAAATATAAAAATATCCCTTAGCTGTCCTCAGTGGAAAATAACGAAAATGATGAAATTCCGTAACGAACGATGTTTTCGAAATAACTTCACAATAGTTCACGATAACTCAACGAAATTTTCGGTGCTGAGAGATCTAACTAAGCTTCATGTATGCCTATAAAATTTCAGAAGCAACACTGTTCCTACTGAGGAGACACGGATCTCACAAGTTGAAAAAATGAAATTGCATAACGCTTGGCTGTGCCGATATCGGACGTTTCAGGTGACATAAAAAACATTCATAGAGATATTATATGTCAAGTTCGATATATCTTTAAAACTCAGTTATCACCTAATTCCCTGTGTCATGATCTTCGGCCATGAGTCCTGTGTATATGATCCACGTACTTGAATCATATACATGTGACTTTGAGTCTATAAAAGGCTGGGAGATAACTGTTAGGAATACATCGCGCGAGAGTGATATTCTTTATGGTCTTTCATCTTTGTTCCTCAGATATGCATGTGTACGTTCCAGTTAGTCTTTAGTCAAGAATAAACGAAGGACGAATCTTCGTCCACCATCACACCCAATGAAGATCAAATCGTTATTTATAAGATAAACAAAAATTTTTTAATTAATCTCTTTCGAAAGAATCAATTCATATCAGTTTAAACATTGTGTACCATCCGGTTCGCACTTGTCAACATTGGCAAAGAAAAACGATCGAAGACAGATACGAAATATATGACATCTCAATTCGTTTGTACGAATCTTCTGTGTTGCGATGGCTTATTTCTAGGGATAAACAAACTTACCATTCTTCTTATCTATGTCACATTCTATATATAACCATTATAGAGAGAATAGAATGCGGAGATAAAGTAAAAAAATTCGTTTTTGCATCACATGTGCTTGTCCTTCGTCTTTTCTTGCGTGTTTTTATGACTCTATGTTGCTTTATTACACTCACTTAATCATGTGGTTAATATTGTTTCAGTTCGTTTATAGATAATTAAAATGGTTGATGCAAACGTAAAAATGATACCTATTGATACTCCATTAGGAAAGTTTAATGTTTGGACGAAACGTATCGGAGATCATCCAACAATAAAGCTTTTGCTTTTACATGGTGGCCCTGGTGGCACGCATGAATTATTTGAAACGTTTGAAAAATATCTGCCACAAGAAGGCATCGAATTCTACTATTATGATCAACTTGGTTCATTTGCAAGTGATAAACCGAAGGATAATGAACTATGGACAATCGAGCGTTTTGTTGATGAAGTTGAACAAGTTAGGAAAGCACTTGGTCTAAATCAAGACAATTTCTACTTGCTTGGCCATAGTTGGGGTGGAATATTAGCATTGGAATACGCATTGGTTTATCAAAAGAATTTGAAAGGTCTAATCATTAGTAATATGATGTGCAGTGCACTGGACTATGCGAAGTATGCTGAAAATATTTTAAGTAAAAGCATGGATTCGGAAGTTTTAAAAGAAATTAAAGAAATAGAAGCAAACAAAGATTATAAAAATCCAAGATATATGGGATTATTAATACCAAATTTTTATAGTAAGCACGTTTGTCGATTAGAAACTTGGCCTGAAGCAATACATCGTGATTTTTCACATTTAAATAGCGATATTTATATTCTAATGCAAGGTCCATCAGAATTTGGTATTTCAGGTTTGTTGGAAAATTGGAATCGTAGGGATGATTTATCCAAAATTGAAACTCCAACATTGATGATCGGTGCAACATTCGACACTATGGATCCCGAACATATGAAATGGATGGCGACACAAGTCAAACATGGTTCCGTTTTAATCTGTCCATATGGTAGTCATTGTTCAATGTGGGACGATGAAGAACATTATTTTCGTGGACTTATTCGCTTTTTAAAAGGTGTAGATCAAGGTGAAAAGGTTGAAGCTATTCTAAACGTTTGATATTTTTCTCTGCATTGACGCATGGATAAATGTTGACAAGCTATTCTATCCAATATCAGAAACATCTCTTTTTCGGCCGAAGAAGTATCTCCGTTGAAATAAAAATAGTGTGCCGTAATCCTCATGTTACGATTTGTTTCACAGATTTACCACGCGTAAAAATTATTTCAAAATATTTTTATAAATACCTTGTTTTTTTGCCTTCAAAAGCAAAAGATAAATACAAATGTTCTTATCTTGACATACACACATTGAATGATGATTTTTCACCAAAACGTTGGTTTTTCCATTTATTTTCGGTGTCATCATTTTTATTTGTTTAAGCCGTAGAAAGCATTCGTTACTTTCATTACAAAATTCATTGTTCGTGCTACAGCTCACAACTACCACCATTATATGGCATTGAATTCGTCCATTACCATCGACACGGTGGATACTATACGTATACGATCAAAAAGCCGTGTTTCCATCGATTTCGACAACGCTGACACATACTCTGTAATGACTCACTTGACAAAAGCTGATGAAAGTATGACGGAACTATATGAGTTTGACGTTGACGCTCTAGATGCTGAAATTCAAAATATCAATAACCAACTGAAAGACAACGTAAACAAATTACGACACAATCCGAAGAATGATGGGTTGCGACAATCAATCCGCAATGCTATAGAACGCCTTGCACAACTTAATATATGGACATCAAAATTAAACACTGAAGAAGCCCGACAGCTTTTGCTGCAGCAGAAGATATGAAATCGATGAAGTATTTAAAACGGTTAAAGTTCGATCTGAAGTCGATATTTGTTTTTTAATGGATTGTACAAAAAGCATGAAATCTCATATCGATAAAGCAAAAGAAGATATCCATCTTTTAACCGAAATGATACCGAATTTATTTAAAGTTCAGCCATGCTTAGCATTTGTTGGATATCGAGATGTAAACAGTTCTAGTCCGCAATGTCTCAAAATGGACTTTACGAAAAACGTTGATTTATTTGAACAGTTTCTTGGCAATGTTCAAGCTGTAGGTGGTTCTGATAATGACTTTTGCGAAGACGTTTTTGGTAAGGATGCCATTAATTGTATAGTTAGTATGAATATTTACACAAGGTCACACTTTTAGGTGGTTTGGAAGTCATTCCAACTCTTCTTTGGACGAGTGCGAATCGTATTTTAATTCACATTTGTGACGCTCCTTGTCATGGCAGACAATATTATGATGCAAAGCTTCAACAGCGTCAGGGTACTAAATGGGATGCATTTCCAGACGGAGATCCAAAAAATCGTGATATAGCAAAACTCTTATTAGACATCAAATCTTTAGATATCCATTACTTTTCTATTCAATTAAAACCAAGAAAAACACGCAAAATGTTCGACGAATTTCGGCTCATTTACGGCTTGATATCTGAATTAGATGTGGCGAATCCCAGTGAGATGATGAACGTTGTAACGAAAATGGCCAGCAGCATAATCATGAGTAGTATTGAAAATACGATGTCAATATTTCGTACGACTGACGAAAGGAAAGTTTACACTCTATCAAATCAAATGCCTGAATGGTCAACTCTTGCCGAACAGATGGTTAATATAATCGAAGTAATAATGCCAAGACAGTTGGATGATATTTTTCAGCGGCTATTAATCGGAACCGCGGAAGGCGCTATGAAAATAGCACCCGGACCGTTTGCTCGAGGTTCATTGAGATATGCTTATTATGGTAAATTTTCAGCGGACGGCTCGATCGCAATTGACGTAGTTTATAAAGAACTTATAAATTCCAATCATCGATATAATACTATGCAAGTATATAAGCAACATTTGGAGATACATGTGATAGCACAATTTTTAGCCGAAATGTTCAACGCGGAACAAAAACGAATATTTCGTCATCCCCGAGAAATTATTTATGCAGAAGCGAATATTGTTCAGCAAAAGAATGATCCGACAAAAATTTTTCAAGTCGAAGCTCGTTTGCACCAAAAAATTCAAAAGTGGAATAACAATAGTGGTGGAGTATCCATGGAAGATTATGCAAGTACACTTCAATCATTCTCCCATTGGACATATCAATATACGTGCGGACGGCTGATGGTCGTAGATCTGCAAGGTGTTAAGACTCAAGACAATGGATATCTACTGACAGATCCTGCTATACATTTTCAAAATCTTAATCGCTATAGAGAAGCACGAACCAATTTGGGCACGAAGGGCATGCGTGAATTTTTCCGCACGCATATTTGTACTGAAGTATGCGAAAAGTTAGAGTTGGACAAAGTAGAAAATAATATTGATGAAGAGACATTCAAGCGATTCTACATATCGGATGATGGCGAGTTGGAACTAGTAAAAACAGTGACTGATGATTATGATTGAGGGATTTTTGTCAAAAAAGTATCTGAAGTTGAATTTGAATACTATCACCTTTTGCTATGACTTGTGACTTTTAATTCAAATAAACAAAATTTCATACAAAATACGATGTACCGTAGTAATACAGTCGGTACTCGAAAATGTTACACCATTGAAGAATCTATTCTATATATACATAGTAGAGATCAACATGGGAGTAGCAATAGAAAATGTAATTTTTACGTATGGAGAATCTACAACGAACTTTTTTCTAAATGACACACTACACAGAAGAAATACAAGTTAATAGGATTCTTTTCGCCCTTTCGCTGACAATCATGTATTCCGAAGAATTAACGAAAAGCAAAAGAAATGTTAATTTTGATCAAGTCGAATAGAAGCACAAAGAGAAACTGTGCAAATGCAAATCACAATCATTATTCATCTTTATGTAAGTATACACAAGAAACGCAAAACACAAACATTTTTACACATCAAAATCAAAACGCGTAAATATAGCAACTTTCTTTTTCGTCGCATTCAATTTAACAAATGTCTTTGAATAACTATGCAACCTATCCTGGTCAATTCCCTCCGGTTGTCATCATCACGGGCAGTATTCCTTTAGATTTGAAAGCAGCATCGATCGCTATAGCATTTCATCTCTCCAATGGTTATGACATTCGATCGGCAAATTTTGATACTACAACATTCTTATATACATTGGTGAATTCCCATTTGTTATTCATGACACCAAATGAATACGCCCAAAAACTCGGTGAAGCAACAAAGTCTTCGAGCTTCTACATTGCAACTACATAAATTATTCTCAACGAAAATATACATCAGTGACATTTTTTATACAATTTTTCTTCGCAAATTTCACGAATAAAACTGTCGTATACTTTTACTTGATAGTTGTTCACACATATCTATCAGCATCTTCATCGTACGAAAAGATAAGAAACGAGAAAAAGAAGATGTATGCGTTTCGATCCATTGTTGATAACGCATACACATTGACAACATGGAATTTCGGTTGCACTCATCAACTAGCTTTGCTGTTTATTTGAATGATCAGATGATTTTGGAACATAGTCATGAACATTCTCTGTTTCATGTTGGTGCATCTCAATCAACATATAAAATGCATCTTGGGCATTTTCTCATCGATCATAAAACAGAAAAGAAAGTCAACCTTCAAATACAGAGTATAGAGGAACTAAGTGCGTCTAACGTGTATGAAATTCTCTTTGCCGATGAAAGTAAATCGTATCAAATTCAAGTGAGATTTATTTTAAACTCAGATGGTTTACAAATCGAATTTCCTTCATCAACTGTCTCAGAGTACATTCGTTCAATTATCGAAGCAGACAAACCACTGGAACGTCACCCAACAACGTTAGATGATAGTGATATGACCAATCTATGGTTTACAATAGATGCTCTACCATTTGACCAAGAAAGTGTACGAGGTGCCGGTCTTCAGTTTACAGATGGTGATCTTCGACAAAAGATCTTACCTATTTGGGTGTCCGAATGGCATCATAATCACTTACACCCGAATAATCAGACAGCTGATCGTCCTACTGAACATACAACTTACCATCCGCAGCCAACTTTCGTTTCTTCACGTGGTTATACATTCTGTGCATATGGATCTGCTTACGCGCAATTCGATTTTTCTCATGCCGACGTTCATCAGTTATATTTCGCTGCGATACCATATCGATTAGAATTACGACTGACGCCATCACCGCCGATTCAATATCCATCATTACCGGAATGGTTACAAGATGGAATCATCTTAGGGATGCAAGGAGGCACAGATGTTGTCGACGAAAAATTACGCAAGATGCATGAAGTTGACACATACATTGCTGGTGTATGGGCACAGGATTGGTGCGGAAAACGAATAACATCATTTGGTAAACGCGTTTTCTGGAATTGGCAATGGAATGAAAATTGGTATCCGAATCTGAAGGAAAAAATTGTCGAATGGCAACGTCTCTACCGTGGCTGTCGATTTCTTGCTTACATCAATCCGTACATTGCAGTCGACGGTTCCCTATTTCAAGAAGCGAATGAAAATAATTTTCTCGTGAGGCATCTTCAACCCGATGATGCCGTCTACCTAATTGATTTTGGCGAATTCAACGGGGCAATTGTTGATCTGACAAATCCCGAAGCTTTTGAATGGTATAAGAATGTAATACGTCGAAATCTACTAGATTTAGGAATATCGGGTTGGATGGCAGATTTCGGTGAATATCTTCCATGCGATGTTCGTGTATATGCGAACATTCCTGGTGCCTTAGTTCATAACCTATGGCCTATACTTTGGGCACGATGTAATTACGAGGCGATCCGAGACGCAGGAAAATCGCAGGAAGTCATTTTCTTTATGCGTAGTGGTTATTTGAATGTTCAACGGTATTGTCCTCTGTTCTGGACAGGTGATCAAGTAGTTAATTTTTCACACGATGCTGGCCTCTCAGTTGGAATTCGCTCGTCACTGTCATTATCACTGAGTCATGTTTTGGCTGTTCACATGGATATTGGTGGTTATTTCGGTCGAACAATCGGACGCACTCGTGAAGTTCTTCTGCGCTGGTGCGAAATTGCCGCTTTCAACGTCATTATGCGAACACATGAAGGAAATCGACCATCATCAAATACTCAATTCGATAGCGATCAACTTTGTATGAAATTTTTTGCTCGGATGAGTCGAATACATGCTCATCTCAAACCATACTCATTACATGTTATTCATGAAGCTTTTCGTCAAGGAAAATCGTGTCTTACTCCATATACAGAACTACAATATTTTTTGGGTAAAGATCTTCTCATTGCTCCTGTCGTCGATGCTGAAGTCAATACGTTAACAGTCACGATTCCCGACGGTCAATGGATACATCTATGGACAAGAAAAGCTTATGACAAGCATCAATGCGAAATTGAAGTGCCACTAGGACAACCGGCTATTTTCTATCGTTCGACAAGTGAATGGGTACCACTTTTTGAGCAAATACATCTTGTCTAGTTACATCCTATTTGCATCTAGCAACTGCGGTGTATGTGCGTGTATTTTTCTCTGTTAATTATTGCGTGTAATTGTTTACTTGTTTTCTGTTGATCGAAATTTGTGCATGATAATTAGCGTATGACTAATTACTACTGACAACGTAAGATAACATCCACCTCATTTTGAGTTCTGTTTTTCATTTAAAAATTTCGCGGTTAATGTATTCATCGATTTTTCTTCGATATTAATTGCCGTTTCTTATTAGTTACCGGTAATTAATATATTTTTATATTTTGCGTAGGTCGCTCGAAGGACACTTGCTCATATTAGAGATGGTTACTTTTTGGTTAATAGCGTCATTTTTCCACCGCGAAGTTTTTCTTCGGCTAAAAAATAATTTTTACTAACCAGTATTTTTCTGTAGCCGTTCAGTTTGTTTGTTTTTGGCCAAATCAATCATGACTGACACCGAACTGGATTGGACCGACTCACAAGTATCAGATTTTTCTGAATTAGGTATATTTTCGGATTCCATTGGCAGAGGAGATGCATTTTCTCTGGTAATATTTTAGTTCGCCAAGCACGAAGTGTTCGTGCATCGAAATGGAAACAAGATGGAATTGTAGTCGCTGGTAATGATCAAGGAACAGCTGGTGATGCTAATGATCAACTGAATACTCCATATGAACTTGCATTCGATACAAATAATCAATTCTTCTACGTTGCCGATCATGAGAACGGTCGTATTCAACGTTTTCCCGTTAATAATAATGGTGATAATAATACGGGAATGACTGCACTGAAAATCGATGATGGCACTGCGTAAGTTTTGCGCTATCTTTCTTCTATCATAGATCCCCTTTCGTTCATTTCAGAAGTCATCCGTGGTTTCCTGATGACAAAAGAAATAAACCATCAACGATATTTATTGACGCCAACGACAATATCTATGTTGCCGAAATGTATCATCCACATCGTATCCTGAAATTGTCACCGGATAAAACTTCATCGACATTGATTGACACGGAGAATAGTGTTCTTCAATCTTGTGCAGGAATCTATGTCGACAAACAGGGAAATATTTATGTGTCTGATTGGCAACAGTATGCGGTTTTGAAATTCGATAAGAACGGAGAACATGGAGAGATTGTTGCTGGTGGAAACTTCTTCGGTGATGGGCCCGATCAATTCGACCATCCAACAGGGATATTTGTCGCTGAGAAGACGGGCAATATTTATATTGCTGACTATTTGAATCATCGTATTCAACGTTGGTCACCTGGTAGCAAAGAAGGTGTGACAGTTTGTGGTGGAAATGGTGCTGGATTTGATCCCAATCAGTTAAATCACCCCTGTTCGGTTATTGTTGACGAAGAAGAAGAATATATATATATCGGTGATTCTCTAAATGCTCGTGTTGTTCGATGGACAGTCGGTGCGAAACATGGCGAAGTCGTGGTTGGTGGTATTGAGAAAACACAAGAATCAAATGCACTCTGTCGCGTCGGTGGAATCAAATTCGATCGAGATGGAAATCTTTATGTCACAGACATCTATCGAAATCAAATTCGAAAGTATTTAGTTGATAATTAGCGCCGTCCAAGTCCATTTACTTTATCGTTAAGCTTTTTCTTCTTTCATAGAATTTAGATAATGTTTTCTATTAGTTTTTTGTTATGATCACTAATCTATGTTAAATAAGAATTTGTCAGTTTACATCAGTTCAAAGCTATCTATATTTCATGTCGGTTATACGATCAGTATCTAGAAAATATTTACATTATTTTGTGCTATTAATGTCGGTCATGTTCTTCTATGATTTTTTTATGTGCGTTGCGCATATGTACAGATGATGTAAAACGACAGAACGCAAAAACAGTTGGTATACTATGCTACACCATCTGGGCTGCTGTTGTGCCAGTAACTTTGATGTGCATACTTGGACTATTAAAAATCAGATTAGATCGAACGAAGAGAATCGGACATTGAATTGAAAAGATCTTCAACTGATCAAACTGTTAATTTATCAAGTTGCTGTTTTCAGGCTTTTGTTTAGGCCGCAACCGTACTTCTTTACCTATGATTTGTCCACGTACTATACGACAAAATCGCCAATCTGCGTGGCCATTGGGTTCTTCATGAACAATACTGCGCATTATCTAATATACATCAAACAAAGATATTTCGACAGGGAAGGCAACAGGCAGCAATCATCACAACACACAGCGGAACGGAATACCATTAATCGTTTATACTTGTGCATTCAGTGCGTCATCGTATCGTTGTAGCATGTATATCGAGCCCAAGAATAATAAAATCGAAACTTTTCAAGAGGTAGAATGATCACATAAGCTGTATGTGTTACGTACTTATAGTCTAATGATTCGACGAGTGCATTCATAGAAAGGATATATTCGAAAGTCACACGTTCGATCGCGTGAAACGTATAAAAGTTTATTCCTTGACTTTGGCTTTTAATTTTTCGAAAAACATTATGAAAACTACTTATATCGATGATTCATTTCATTCGACTAGATCAGTACGCTTGTTTTTTATAGAAATCTTTGGTTATTTGAAGAAATTTGCTTTGGAGTGTTTTTCAATCGATGTCTCTATTCAGGCCTTCGGCCGTCAAAATCGACTACGAGTGTCGAATCAAAATGAAACAAAGATTAGATTGACGCTAAACAGATTCGTCTCAAACTAGAAAACCGTGGCCTATCGTTACTTATTCACCTCGTTTATGTGCGTACGATTTTCCAATGCATACTTTTCAGCTCTTTCCAACGTTTCTCATCAATCTGATTCCCACAACGACTCTGTCAACATAACTAAACGGCCATAAGCATTCATATCTATTCATATTTCCGGTTATTTCAAACATTCTCAATGTTACGTTTAATTATTTCATTTCATCTATTTCTTTCGTGCCGATATTTGTCATATTCATGTCTCTAAAGTATTTAGTAAAAAAAAACTGAGAGATAATACCAGCTTGTCGTGTGTGACGCCTGCTAGTGTGATTACAAACTACATTCATTCTGCTTCACTCTCCCAATGATACAAATGACAACTTCATCTGCCGCAGTATGAGTTTTTTCACTAATTAAAGTTCTGATGCTTTATAATCGCACTTACCTGAATACCCCAGAAAAACTTGTTCTAATGATAAAGATAATCGACTGAGTTTTAGAGATTTGGAAATCGCATGATAAGAATCTTAGCGTTTACTTTTTCAATCAAAAGAGTCCTTATTTATAATTAAAAAAGTCAGGAATTTGACGCCAGATTTTCTATTAATATACATGACGATAACTGTCTGAGAAGAATTTTACTTTTCATCAACATATTATTGACTTTGCACTGCATCTTTTTCCAACAATAACCGCGATAGCGGTGCACTTTTATCTAGAAACATGAGCAACACAACAGCAGTCAGCACTCAAGCTGATCTTATCAATCAAATCTACCGTTATAATCAAATTTTTACGCGATATACTTTGGGTTTTGCGCTAACCATGGGTAATTTCGTATCGATTCTCGACATTCTTGTCTTCTCACAAGCACATATGCGCAAAAATACATGTTCCATGTATTTTATCGCTTGTGCCATTTCAGAACTGTTCACATTTAATGTTGGCGATTCCACACGAATGCTTAATTTTGGTTATAAGATCAGCATCTATAACATGTTTGATTGGTTGTGTCGAGTTCGATATTATATTACCTTTGCATTCGTTGCTATCCCACATTATTTTATAATCTTAGCATCGATTGATCGATATTTTGCCAGTTCTCGCAACGCTCGTCGTCGTCAATGGAGTTCACCACGAATAGCTCGTCGGCTAATCATCGGCAATATCCTTCTATGGCTCGTTGTCTATAGTCACTGTCTTATTTTCTATACAAACCAAACTGGACAATGTAGCACCTACGACTATGCTTATGATTGGTTTCTTCGTATTCAAGACGCAATTTGCGCTGCTTTTTTGCCTTTACTGTTGATGTGCATATTTGGCTGGCTAACACTCAAGAATATTCGGGCTATCGGAAAACAGATCAGGCCGAACGAAGATGTTCATACGTTAAATACAATGTCTAGAAAAGATTTTCAACTAATCAAACTATTAATTTATCAAGTTGCTGTTTTCAGTCTTTTGTTCATGCCACAGCCGTGCTTCTTTATCTACGATTTGTCAACGTACTACACGCCAAAATCGCCAATCCGTGTGGCCATTGAGTTCTTCATTAACAATGCTGTTCATTGTCTAGTGTATATAAAGTTCTCTTGTACGATACTTATCAATCTTTCCATATCAAAACTATTTCGAGTCGAACTGTATAGACTGATTCAAACAAAGATATTTCGACAGAAAAGGCAACACGCAGTAATCATCGCAACACACAGAGGAACAGAACACCATTAATCGTTTACTATTGTGTAGTCTTATTGTTGTGTGACCTATTATGTACCGAACCGTGCAGAAGTTTAATTTGACTTTGAAGCCAAATAAACAGTTGTACAAAAAGCATAATTACTTTCACAACAGATTACCTATATTACTTTTCCAAGAAATTAAAAAATTCCACTAGTGAGGAAAAGTTATCAATGATTCGTATGTTTTAAAAAAAATAATTCTCCATACATTTTTAAAGTTTCGCGAGCAGGAAAAGAAATACTAAGAACATAATTGTATATAGATGTGTCGATGATATTAAAGTTTGTCGAGGTCGCTTAGATATATGAACAGCGAGGACATATTTCAAAGTCGCATTTCCGTTACAATGAGTGTGCAACGTTTATTGGTTTCGTTAGAATGTAGTTTGCATCGTGGAAAAAGAAAATTTTTTCAATTACTGTGATAAAAATCGGAAGAACTTTATTTTGAACAATACTTTGTTTGGTTGGAAAACCTTTCTTGAATTAAATCTCTTATTCTGCGTTGCTCAAAGAAGTATAACTCAATAATAATCTGATATTACTGAATTATTTTAATTCAGTCGTGTTTATGTTCGACTATCGGTTCACTTCGAGCATCTGCTGATCTAGTTTTATTTCGAGTTAGACTTTGTAGCGCGAGTACAAAGATACGATTTCTCAATTTCCAAGTCTTCCGAAGTGAAACTCGCATTGCATTTAGTAAGATAAAGAAGCATATGGTTGTAAGAAATCAATCGGACTTGGAGAATGTGAAATATGTCGCAGGTAATAATAAGGAGAAAGCAGAACGTATTTTTGAAGAGTATTATTTAAAACTAGCAATGGAGCTACTTATAAATTCGACATTTTCCGTATTAACACTTGTTCCTAATAAGAAAAGGAAAACTTGAAAGTTGCTTCCTTACAGATTGCAGATTATTTTGCCCAATCTTTCGTAGTTATCATTTCATTTATTCACTTGCCAAAGAGTAAATAACTCATCGACTGTTGCTTTCGTAATATTTAGCTCAACGAAGAAATATACAAAGCAATGTCATTCTTTGCTCATACTACCAATAAAAAGACAAATATTTGATATAGCTATATAACCAGTCCTATCTAAATGTTCGACCAACTTGTGTAGTGCATGCCAATTGTAAGCATCGAACGCTGCACTGGTTCCAGCAATGCCACTTGATATAAATGCGGCTGTTTTGACTGTTGTATCTATAGCTGAATATCCAATCCAACCAAAGACAGTGGAGAAAATTGTCTTGACTATTGTCCGTATTCTTTGCCATTTTTTAAAATTAACAACGTTGTTTCGTATTTCGTTCGTTCGTTTGAAGATATTCTGAAGATAATATTCTTCAGCTGCGAATATTTTGGGATCTGTATTGCTCAGATCTTCATATTCTTTTTGTAGTGCCTTCACTGCATCGTTGTTCGAGTAAGTGTCGATGAGTAAAGCAACTGATATTCCAATACCAAGAAAACCGGCACATTGAGGGTATTTCTCGATGTTTTGAATGAGCCATTCACTTGCTTGTATAAGATTTACTGATTTTAACTTCTTGAGATCCTTCACGCCGGCCCGCGAAGGTATATTATTTTGCTTAGGTCGATGAACTTCATCTCTCCTTCCAACTTCGCTAGATGTGGTTTGTCTTTAGAACTACAGAAACCTGCCAAGTTGTCATCTTCTGAGCATTTGTCTGCTAAGACAACCCTAGGACGATTGAGTATGATCAAATGACATACAACTAAAAATAGAAGAGAGAGGTAATTGTTAAGAGAAGCACGAGAGCATTCCTTTCCTACCTGCGAAGAGTGTACAGTAAGGGTTCATGGTCATCCAATAGGAAAAGTATAGGTGTGCACTAGCGATTGTTAACGAAATAAGAATCTGTATCGTCGAATATCCAAGAATTTATATACGCAACACTGGGGGAAAATCCAGGGTAATTTGGAAGAAACCTGTGGTTGATATAGTGGCGTCAATGGAGTGCCTGTCTTCCTTGGAAATACTATACAGAAATATTCGATGTAATCGATCGTAGTCCCTATGGGATATTTTCCCCTGCTGATTCTCTCTCTCCCTATGTATAAGTTGGAGTTTTTCCTATGTTGTTGTTGGTTTTTCGTTAATTTCCAAATAAACATTTTCATTCACTACAAGACGTGATAAAACTCGACCGTACAATCCGCGATAAACAGAGAATACATCCTATTCCGCAATGGTGCACATTTGGGAATCAGTTCCTACGATTCCGGAATCGATACACACAATTCTGCGGGATTCCTACCATTTCTGGAATCGTAGGAATCGATTCCATAGGCGGAACTGGTTCCCAAATGTTCAACATTGCGGAATAGGATGACTGCTCAATTTTCAATTTGCTTGGCTTTCAGCAGTGAGATTGTCCCTTGCTCTGGTTTCTCTTCATAAAATGTATTGAAAAAGACGGAAAGCTCATCACTAAATACTTTTCCATCGTGATTTTGATCAATTAAATTGAAATTTATGTATACTACGTGTATCGGATGTGCAAAACTAACTAATCGATGTCTTCTAACGCCTGTTTTCGGTTAAGAAGATTACATCAATAACATGTCTTTCGTTCGTATATACCGTTAACAGTAACGAAATAAATAGCGATATATTTGTACATACTCCTAACGCCCAGTTATGCTGTCAACGCATGATTGATTTTTTCTCATTTGATCACTTGTCAAACATTTATCCTGATAGGTCATTTTTGATAATAAGCAAAATATCTAACAAATATAACGGCCTTGCAATCGAATTATATATTGAAAAATAGAACGAAAGAGAGGTAACGATCGATTCATCTCATATTTACCTTTCTTTTTCATTCAAGTGTGAACAAAGCAAATGGAGATGCAACCTGGAACAACGACAAATTTGGAACAAAACCATTCTGTTTCAAATCAAGTGAGTTCAGAGGTTATCTCTCTTACTGATAGTAGAAGAGAATCAATCAATAATGATCCCATCGAAAGGTACTACTGACGTTTCCAAACGATTAGTTACAGTTTGCTCTTTTAGAAAGAACTATGAGAAGACATTCACACTGAAAAAGAAAGTTGCTTTGATATTCGTGATATATGTTTGTGCAGTTATGACGATTGGCATCTTATTCGTATGTTTAACATATAAAAAGCCAGGTAGATTAGTAGGTTTTTTTGAAAATGATCTTTGAAAGCATTTGTTACTAGTGACGACGTGTAAACATACCTTCAAGCCAACAGTAGGCAGCTCGGCAACTCATAATTCTCAACCTGAAGCAATTGCTTTGGGTGACATCAATCTGGATGGTAGATTGGACATTGTTGTAGCTAATTTTGGTACCGATAACATCGGGATTTTATTCAGCAATGCGAATCACACGTTTGATGATCCAATAACGTATTCAACTGGAGTCAAATCAAGTCCATCTGCATTGGTTGTGAACTATTTTAATGACGATGGTCTTCTTGACATAGTTGTGAACAGGTATGGCGGAAACGGTATTGGCATATTATTCGGTAAATCGAACGGAACATTTGCAGATATGTTAACTTTTTCCACTATGAAATCCCGACCAATTTATATTGGAGCCGGCGATTTTAATAATGATAACAGATTAGACATAGTCGTGGTAAACTATGGTACTAATAGTATAAGCATCTATCTCAATGTTAACAATGGAACATTTTCAGATGAAGTCAATTACTGGATGGGATACGATTCTATACCATACTCGCTCGTCGTAGGTGATTTTAATCAGGATAAAAAATTAGACGTAGCCGTTGCAAACTATGGTATCGATAACATTGCTGTTCTTTTGGGCGTCGGAAACGGTACGCTCTTTCCTCCG